CCCCTCACAGGCAAACACAGGTCACGCCTCCCTTCCCTGGAGGGCCCGGCAGGCTGCAAGGACTCTTCCCGAAAAGCAGAGCCCAGCCAGCAGAGATCGATGGCCATTAGCTTTCAAGACACGACCCACAAGGAACCCCCAGTCTGGCATGGCTCTGGCGATCTGGCCATGGCCCCAGGCTGGGGTGACAGGGTGGCTTGGCACCCAGGGGGAACGCAGGTGGGCACCTGGCCGCTCCAGCGTGTCTCATGGTGACGCGGGTGGAGCCGAGGCGTGGCCCAGGCTGCCCTGTGGGGTGTCCCAGCTCCAGCGTGCCTCAGGGTCAGGACACAGTCAGCACAAGCGGCCTGGGGACAGACCAAACAGGGCGGGCACACGTGAGCCTGGGCTCTAGGGCACAGGGAGCCGGGCGGACAGCAACTGCCACCAGGATGAGACGGCCCTGCCCCTCCCAGGGCTGCGGCCTCCCTGCCTGTGATCTCCCCTCACAGAGCCCCAGGGGCAGGCTGCGGCAGCGTGGAGGGAGCAGGGAGGGGGTCTGTGGTGGGTGCATCCCCTGGTGCCAGGGCAGGCGTGGGGCAGAACTAGGTGTACACAAGGGGAGGACCTGGCACCACGAGGGGCCTGCGGTAGGGGGCTGCACGCATCGAGAGGGAGTCCAGGGACGCGCCCTCCTCTGTGGAGCAGGGACCTGGGCACAGAGGGACGGTCATTCCGGCATCCTTGGACAGTGACCGAGCAGGGCGCAGGCCTGTGGGTAATGCCCCAGGAAGACCCTGCCAGAGGGGACGAAAAACCCCTGGTTGGGGCTCCTGCTTTGAGCTCTCAAAAGCCACCCCCAAACTGGGATCCCAAGCACCCCGGCTTTCCAGAGCCAGACTCTCGGGGCCACGCTCATCCCTCCTCATAGCCCGCCCCCATGTCTAGGTGCCCCCTCGTGAGAGCCGAGGCTGGCAGTGCGGGGCCTTCCGGGTCTTTCCGCATGGGCTGCCTTTGCCAGTCTATTCTTGTGGACGGGGCTCGGGGGAATTCACGTCAGTGAACACTGTGACATGGAAAACCAAAGGAAGACATTAACCTCATTAAGTCGGGGGGAACGGAGAGCTCCCCCACGCGCTTCCCACCAGGAGGTTCTGAGTTGCGGGCTGTCTGCAAGCCGCCAGGGCGGCGGGCGGTTGGGGAGGCTCCCGCACCTCCCTGGAGCGGCGGCACCTTCGGGGGGCACCAGAGGATGCAGCCAAAGCCCCTGCAAGCGGGGGGCCAGGGAAGCGGCAGCATTCGGGGTTCGGGCTCGCCTCTACGGCCGGGGCATTGTCAGGGCCAAACAGCGGGGCCGCCCAGGAACGGTCAGCAAGCCAGGCCCCCCAGCAGCCCGGCCGGGTCCCACAGCCACCACCCTCCCGCTGTCCTGGGGCTGCGGGAGTCGAAACGCGGACTCGTCCTGGCGAGCCCGAGGTCTGCGCTGGGCCTCCCGGCCCCCGGACGGGAAGACAGACTCGCAGCCTCTGCCCGAGGGCGGCTTTGGGGGCCAGTTTTCTGCTTTGGAAAGACACCGAGGGTCTAAGTGCAGATTAGCCAAACGCAAGCCCGATACCGTCCCCGCTACTAGTTCCCAGGATGCTGGCCCCCAAGCAGCACCCCCCGAAGAGGGCAGCTGCCCCTGGCCTGCTGGAGCCGCAGTGCCCACTCACCTGCCTTCCCGCGTCTGCCGCTACACAAGACACAGCCTGGCGTGCGGCTCGCCAGCCGCCCCAAGGCCCTGGCGCGGCTTCATTAGGGAGTGTCATGCGAACGTCAGAAGCAATTGGTGAGAGAGCAGAGTCCCACAAGGGTCGAGTTTTGAGGCAGCGAGTCCATTAGTCCTATTAGGGCGTTTTCATCTCAGCAAAAGAGGCTGAATTATTCACGAGCGCGTCTTCCCCTAAAAGCCTGGGGAGTGCAGATCCTGCTGCAGCTGGAAGGCCCGGCCTGGTGTCCGTCCTGGGGCTGGGGTCCTGGGACCCCAGAGCACAGCCCCCGCCTCTGTCGCCCACTCCCCTGCGGCGTGGGCCCTGGGCTGGGGGGAGGGGCAGAGCTTTCTGCACTGGAGGGTGAGACTCAGCCTCTGCCACCTCGGGGTCTGTGGTGGGGGAGCAGGGTCGGGGACACGTGTGACCTCCCTTCCTCCCAGATGGATGGCTCCTCCCTCCCACCTGGAAGTGCCCAGGTCAGCACCTCCAAGCCCCCCAGGACCTGTGCACAGGAGGAGGGGCCCTCAAGTCTTCTATAGGAACCCCATGCTGCCACTCTCCCAGGCAGGGCTGCGGAGACCCTTCCCTTCCCCCAGCACGCGTCCTGACCTGGGGCTTGGGGTTTGAGGCCGAGCTCTGGGCTGACTCTGGGCTGCACCCCCATTCCTGACGTCCTGATGAGGTGGGGGGCACCCTGGGTAGTTTCAGGACGCCCAGAGTACCTCAGGGTGGCATCACCAGCTAAGGTGAGCCGGTGCCTGCAAGATTTTGGGTGGAGGCTGGTTGCTCACCTCCAGACAGGCCAGCAAAGAGGGTGGCTGCCAAGGGGCTGCGGGTCGCGGCCCCAGGCTGAGGGTAGAGAGTAGTGAAATGGGGAGGATGTGGACCTGGAGGTGACCATCTGGAGAGGCCTTGAGGATGGCAGGGGGGTGCCTGGGCTCAAAAGCCCTAGCCCATGGCAGTGCCTGAGCCCCCATGTCCTGGGGCACCTCCTGGCTGCAGGGGGCCCCGGCCTCACTGCTGAGTGACCGTCACCAGCCTGCAGCTCTGAGCAGGCCCTTCTCTGGCCTGTGGGTGTGGCTCCCCGGCAGCTGCCTGCTCTCCCTCTTCCGGCGGCTCAGCCCGTCCGCCTGGTCTCCGCATCCGCGGTCCCGGGCCTTACTCCCTGCTCCGCGCTGCGCTCCTACGGGGGGCTCCGGCCTCTTTCTGCTCAAACACCATCGGTGGCTCCTTGGTGCCCACGGATGCAGCCCGAGAGCTTGCACCTGGCATTCAAGCCCCGCCCCCGCCGCTCTGACCCCCACCTACCCCTACAGTCCGGCCTCTGGCCATTCTTCCTGTCCCTGACAGCCCAGCCTGGTGACAGCCCAGCCTGGTAACTGCCCTTCAGGTCCTCCTGGTCCTGCCAGCCTCAGGTGCAGCTCAGCGCCGCCTACTGCCTTCCCCGGAAGCCTTTCCCCACGCTCAGCTGTGACCACACCCAGCGGCTCCCCGCCTTCTCCAGCCCCGCACACCTGCTGGAGACCATCGGGGACCATCGGCGAGAGGCTGCTGGGCTCTGGGCGGCTGCAGCCTGCTGCCCACCGACCCCTCCCCTCCCTGCATCGCCGGCTGGTGCCCACAGGTGGGCGGCGCGTTCTCCTGCTCTTTGACATCGGGCTCGGTCACGAGACTGGCTTAGTCCAAAGCGTGTGAAGCGAGAGGGAGCCCGTTCTAATGGGGGCCCCCGGAGACCTCCCGCGTCTCTGCCTCGCCTCTGGCACTTCTGCCAGGAGAGGACGTGTCTGGGAGAGCCCTGGCTGAAAGGCCAGAGGCTGGAACCCAGGACCGCCTGCAGCCAGGCCCAAGCCCGCCCAGCCCCCCACGAGCTGACTCCTCGGCCCGGGACACACGTGGCCATGAATGTCCCTGCCCGCGGCGCGTTTTGCTCGGTGCTGCCCCGCCAGGTCCTCGTCAGAGGCTCATGAGACACCCTGAGTGACTGTGGAGAAGCCGCATGGAGACGCCAAGGGCAGGCGGCCGGAGCCTTGGCACAGCCGGGGTGGGGGTGTGTTGGGCGGGGGGTCCAGGCACCGAGGGGCCTGTCCTGTTGCAGGAAGGCTCACGGGCCGGGGTGCTCCCCTGGAGGGCTGGCCCCGGGGGCCTGGCTAGGGCACACGGCGCTCTCCCACCTCCACTCGGTGCCACCTGTGCCTTACACGACGCCCTCTCCAGGAGGGCCCCTCTGTGCCCAGGGTTTGAGGTCTGCTCCCTTGAGCCTTCTCTCGAGGACCGAGGGCCCTGAGGATGCAGGTCAAATGCATGTTTGGCCTCCTTTTGACACAGGATGCCCTGCGCGCGCATGCACATGCGTACACGCACACACACACACACACACACACACACACGCCATGGTAACCCTTCACCTGACAAAAGCATTTGCAAGCCCAGGTTCAGGTCTGACTATTTCAGGTAGAGTCTGCCCACCAACAGGTGCAGTAGAACCAAAGGTGTGGCCACCTCTCGGGAGCGCTCCGTCAGGAGGACACCGCACAGCAAGCGGGCTAGCCTGCGATGGCCACGGTCAGGACGAGGCGCTGGGGGAGGGCCCCGGGGAAGCCCATTGCGACGGGTCCCCGCCACAGTGCGGGGCATCAGCAGTACCGGCCCCGGCTTGGTCCCCGGGGGGCGTGGACGTGGGAGCTGACTCTGGACGTGAGCCCTCCCAGGCCTGAGCGCCAAGACACACCGCCCACCCGGGCCTGTGTTCAGGCCATGTGAGTCCCCACACGTCTGCCCTCCTGCCTTCGCCCCGGCAGTGCTCACCCCCCACTGGGATGAAATGTCCATGAAAGTGTCCTCCTAGGGCCTCAGACTTCCAAGGAGCATGTGTGCTCACGGGCAGCCCCGCTTTACAGGTTGGGGAGAGGCACCCAGAGGAGGGTGCCTCCCGCAAGGCCCTGCAAGTGGCACCCTGGCCAGTTCCTTGGGCCAGTGTGTAGAGTGGCCAACAGGGAAACTCAGGAGCCCCCGAGTCCCCGCAGACGGTCAAGGTCGCACGGCCCGGGGGAGTTTGGCTTTCAATGCACCCAGGAGCCCTGCAGACAACAAAGCCCTCCAGCGAGGGGGACATGGCCTCGGAGCCTTGCACCCTAAGAGCAGACAGCGCCCCGCGACGGTTTCATGGGAATGTGACCTGCCGGCGTGGGCGTGGAGAGAGAAACCACAAGCCCCGTGGGCGCCGCCACCCCGTGCCTCCAGCTCGCGGGTTTGGGGAAACGAGGGTGTTACCTGTAAAACTGCAGCTGCCTTTTGGGACTCCCATAGCGGGTACTGCGGACAGCAATGGAGGGAAGAGAAAAAGGAGAGAGAGCCCAGGATGCTCGTTAACCACAGGAGGTGCTGGCTGGCGCGGCTGCACCCCGAGCCCGGCCCGCCCTCTGCGGTGGGCCTCGCGGAGGGGGTGCTGGCACCCAGCGCGCGTGCCAGCGCCACCCAGTGGCCCAGGGAGGCAGAGGGCGGCTGTGCTGGGGCCCTGGGTCCTTGCAGTATGGATGTTTCCACCCGAGCGGGCGCGGGTCAGACGCAGACCTCTGGGTTTGGGTTTTAATGCGATGCGTTTCAGAGCAGGTGTGAGAACCCTCGGACCAAGAAGGCCGTCAGCCCACACGCCGGGCGGTCCGTGTGTGACTGGGGGTAGCGGGGGGCCCCTCAGGGTTTTGATGGACGCCCCCGTCCCCTGAAGGTGCACAGACACCCTGGCTCAGCCCTGACAGTGACACTCAAGGCCTGATGGACCCGGGGGTGCCCCTGGGGGGTGCTCTTTCCGGTGCCCCACCCACTGAGCCAGCAGCTCACCGAAGCTCCCACATGTCCACCCAGAGCTTCGACAGCGGCGAGGTTCCAAACAGGAAGACCCAGAGCCAGGCCGGAGGAGGCGTCCACAGGAGGGTGGAGGGCGCCCTCCTCTCCCCGGGGGGCCGAAAGAGGGAACGTGGGCCCCGCAGACCTTCTGGCCTTGCTCAGGTGCTGGGGGACAGGGGCACCCAGGTGCGCACGCAGAGGGGCCGGGCAGGGCTGCCCACCCACTCCCGGGCCCCGGGGACCCTGCGGCGGCGTCGGGGGCGGCCCGAGTCTGCTCCTGGCTCCGCCCCACCCGGGAAACGTTTCTCTTTCCCGCTTTGGTTTAAAACTTGCTGCTCTCCCCCTGGAGAAAACTCTCACTGGCCTCCCCTGTGCTCCCCTCAGGGCTGGGGCGCCGCGGGTGGGGGCGGGGGTCACCTGTAGATCATGCCGGGGGAGCCCGTCTGCCGCAGGGAGAGCCGCGCTGGGGAGCCTGTGGTCGACTCTGGATACATGGAGCTGGCTCACTGGTCACGGCCTCCTCTCTTTCTCGCCGAGGGAAGGTTCTGGGGGAGAAGCAGAGGTGGGGGGTGGTGGTTAAGGAAAGAGAGGCCCCAGGTTCGCCAGGAGACTCCTCTTCTGTGAAGGCCCAAGGCAGAGACAGAGGCGGACAGGGACAGGCAGAGGGGGACAAACAGCCCTGCCTCATGGGGTCTGCGCACCCCCCTGGCTGTGTTCCTGAGGGTTTGGGGTGTTTTCCGGTTGCCCAGACCAGAGGGACCCTGGACTCAGGACTCTGGAGGGCCGTCCCCACCCGGAAGTGGCCCCGCCGTCCCCAGCGTCAGTCTTGCCGCCGCCCGCCCGAGTCCAGTCCACCGTGGTCGGCTGGGCCGACCTTGGCTCGAAGGTAGGCAGCGCGTCGGATGTCCCCACGACCCCGCTCCTCGGTGCCCCCTGCGCCCGGACCCCGGCCGTGTGTGCCTTTTGGCGCCTTGCTCTGGACCCTCGGCCTGTGGCGTGAGGTGAGGGCGTCATTCTGGGCCAGGGGCGCGGACAGTTTCTGGCTGGCTGCAGACGCTCCCTGCCGGGTCTGCTGGGCCGGCGCTGGAGGCCCCGGGCAGGGAGCTGAGCCTGGGCGGCCCTCCTGGAGGTGAGGCCTCAGGCAAGACCCCGGCGCAGCCCACACCTGGCCGCAGGCACGGAGGACCTGGGGGAACTGTGCCTGGGCTCCTGATCCCGGACACTGAGCGGTGACGAAAGTTGTTCTAAGTCTCTACGTTTGTGCAAAGATTCTTTGCAGCGAAGAGAACGAACAGACCGTCGCCCCCGAGCACGGGCAGGCTGGGGGTCCGCAGCGGGGGCCGCACGGCCTGCAAGGCTAAGCGTTTACTGCCTGGCCCTTCCCGGGATGAGCCCGCGGGCCTTGTGGGCGGCCTCCGTCTCCTGCTCTCTGTAGGGGGAAAGGATGTCCTTTCACGGGCTCCACCCCCGCCCCAGGCCAAAGAGATCCTGACACCAGGGACGACAAGCCCCATCACGTCATCCCCACCCAAGGGAGGGTGCTGGGAACTGGGGGTGGAGTTAAGCAGCCAGGCTTGGGGTTGAACCAGAATTGTGGGCCTTGAGGGTCCTTGGTTTTTCGCCGGCTTTCAGCGGGGTATTGGGGTTCCCGCTCAGCGGAACTGGTAGGACGCAGTCACCAGTTCATCTCTCTTTTTCTCCCTGAGTTGTTCTTCATTTCCCCTTTTTGTGCGCAAACCCTTTATGACCCTTGTGTGAGCCTGCAGTTGTCTCATCATAAGTCCCTTTTAAGCGCGGATGAGGACCCACACAGGACGGCCCACTCCACACTGGGGTTGCCCTGTACCATCTCCAAGAGGGCAACCTTCCCCCCTGCCCCCCGGATCCCCCACACCTGCTCTCCCGCCCCCTCACTCTTGGTTTCACTACACAGGTGCACAGAAGCCGGCGCCCCAGGCCACCCGCCAGAGCAGCATCGTTACCCTGAGTGGCTCTGGGGGCTCCCTGGGGGACTGGCTGTGCACCCGCACCGCAGGGGCCAGCCTGAGCACCCCCACCCCAAGCAGGGTCCCCTGGAGCCATCTGCATGCCCCCACTGATGATTCCTCTGCTGTCCTATTTCTATTTTCCACTCACAGGACACATCCTTAAAAACGTCATCCTTTCTTCCCTCTCCCGTCAGTCCTCACTGCTCCGAAGCCACACTTTGACAAGGTCACTGTGACCTCCCTGTTGCCAAGCCTGACGGTGCCCCTCACATTGGGGGACAGCGGGCCACCCGCCACCTCGCTCCCCGAGGTCCTGCGCCTCTGGCGGCTGCGCCTCCGTCTGCCTGAGAAGGCCGCTCCTCTCCCTGCCTCGCGCCCCGCTGGCTGCCGGGTGCTTTTCTCCACTCTGGCCCTGGCACCTCGCTACACCGCAGGCCCCACGGTTTTATCACCAGCCCGCTTGCTCCCCGAACCCCACCGGCCAGTTGGTGTGTCTGCAGGGATGTGGGACGCTGTCTGTCTCCCCCAGAGCTCCTGATGGTGCCCCAGCCCTGCTTCCCAGGCGGACCCCGACGCATCTTCAGAAACATCCAGACCCCTCCCAAGGGTGCGCTCCACCATCTCCTCCGGTCGGGTGCCCTCGTGCATTTCCCCGGCGGGTCTCCTTCCATCGTTGCCCTTATAGTCTGCTGTACGGAGCCAGAGCGAACCTTCTAGAACATAAATCGGAGCACGGCATCCCTTTGCTGGCGCCTTTGCTTCCCATTCTAGCCAGAGTAAATGCCCAGGTCCCAGCGTGGCCTCAGGGCCCTGCCTCCTCCTGGAGAGCCCCTCCTCCCCGCGGCCCCTCACCCCGCCATCGCCTTCGTCCCCCAGGGCCTCCAGAACCCAGAGGCCGCCAACCTCAGGGCGCGTGCACCTGCACTTCCTTCCGCCCGAAGCTCTCTGAGCCCCGAGCTCTGCCCGGGCCCCTCACTCAGGTCTCCCTCTCATGGGGTCTTGTCCGAGTCTCCTCGAGCTGCAGCCCCGCCTTCCCCACACGCCGCCCCTGCGTGTCCTTTCTCCCCACCCTGCGCCTTCTCACCGCCCTCCTTCTCCCCCACCACCGACCGCGCCAGCCCGGGGGGCAGCGGGTGTGGTGTCCCCTGCTGTGTCCGGCACGTGGAGGCCACGCAGAGGCCTGACTCAGCCTGCTGCAGAGGGCTGGGCCGTGCGCACTGACTGCAAGTGGGCGCCCCGGTGCTGGGGTGGGGGAGCCGGGGACACCCGAGCATGTGGGACGGGCAGTCCTCTTTGGAGGGTGCAGTGCAGGCTCTGTTGGGGTGGGGTGCTCAGGGCTGCTGTGGGTGCGAGGACAGTAGGTGCCACCAGCTACACCTGAGGAAGTACCTGGGCTGGCACGGTGCCCTCCTCCCTGCCAGCTGCCCTCTGACGGCCGGGCTCCTGAGCCACCATGGGCCCTGGCGCCGCCGCTTCGGGAGGAAGGAGCCGCGGCCACAGCAGCGCCTACTCACACTTCAGGGGTACCTTGGCCGCCTCGCAGGGAGGAGGGGCCCCTGGGGTTCTGTCCCTGCTTTGCAGGCAGGACACAGAGCCACCTCCTGCAGCTGCAGCGGCTGCTGTCCAATCAGGCGCCTCCGCGTCGCCCCACCGCCAATCCCAGGGAGCCTGCGTCCCGGTCTCCAGGGAGCCGCTGGGCAGCGGAGCGAGGAGGCAGTGGGGGGGGTCCCCCTGAAGAGGCTTCGGAGTCTTTTGAGACACCCCATACTGGGCTCCAGGACGCTGAGGCTCCAGGGACGCTGGCAGCTGAGAGGGTGCTGCTGGGGTCGGGCTAGGAGTCCCCAGTCTGGGTTCCCCACCCCCACGGTGTCCCCCAGGTGTTCCACCTGGCCCGTGTGTGACCTTGAGCAAGCCGCCCCATATAAACTTGCAGGAGTAGCCAACAGTCCCACCAGGGCAACAAGGGGTGAGACAGGAAGCGCCTGGGCGGCGAGGAAAGCCCCTCCCTGGCAGGGAGCCCGACAGGCCACCTCCACCTCTGGGCCCTGCCGTCCCCGCTGACTATTTTGAAAAACTTTCAAACATCAGAAAAGACGTACAAAAATCAGATTGGTCACAAGCACCTGTGCACTCTTGTTCCCACTCACGGGGTGTCAGCTGCACACCCCGTTTGCAGGCCAGGCCCCCCAAGCCTTTTCAGTCCCCTCCCCCCTCTGCCGAAGCCTGCTCCTCTGGGCTGAGGACGTCGCTGGGCGTCCCCACAGGCCGTGAGCCCCCCAGGCGTCCACGCCGCGCCCCGATGCACAGCCTGTAGTCCCATGTCCTGAAATCGCTCTCACAGCTGAGAGAATACCAGAGCCACCCAAGACTCACAAATGGCTCTGGCTAGTCCCCGGCGGCCCCTGCCAAGACTGTACCCCATCCAGCACCCCACCAGCTCGCCCCGTTTTTCTTCTGTTGTTTCTCATGCCACTGAGACGTTGCTCTCTTAAAGGTCAGGCCGTTAGTCTTGCAGCTGGACCCACACTCCAGATTCGCGTGGGTCGTGTGACCGCAGCCTCCTGGGGAGGTGTCTGTCCGTCCAGCGAGGAGGCATCTTTGTCCACTGCGAAGTCGGGGCCCTCCCTTAGCTAAGGATCCGGGAGGGTGCTGGCAGGCTGTGTGGGGGTCTGTTCCCCGGCAACCTCACCCCGTGGGTGTTTTCTCCGTCCTCCATCACCCCAGGAGGGCCGACGGGTGTCTGGGTAGAGCAGACCGGCGGAAGCCGACGTAGATGGGAGAGGACACAGTGGCTGGTCCTGGGGTCTCCCACTGTTGCTGGGCGCAGCCCCCACTGAGGGCTCTTTCAGGGACTGGCTGAGGCGCCTTGGGCCCTCTGGACACTGGGCCTGGTACTCTCTGTGGGCAGCCGCCTGGGACCTGGTGTTAGGGCCTGGCCTGCAAGCACCTCCATTTCTCTGCGGGGGCTAAGAATGACTGTGCTTCTCCTGGGGTGCCCGAGTCGGCGCTTTGAGGGGCACTCACGACCCCTCCCTCTCTCAGGGCCCTTTAGCCTCAGCACTAAAGGTGGACGCCACAAAGACACAAAGAAAGTCCGACCTGAGCCTGTGCGTCCCGGATAGAGGCATCATGTCCGGGAGGTGCCTCCCGATGGGGCCTGGCAGGGGCCATGCTCGTCCCGGGTGTCCTGGTTGGCGGCCGGCGCTGACTGGCAAAGCTGGAGTTGGCGGGGGTGGGGGGGAGCGGGGAGAGGTGCGGGAGTCTCAGCCCCACTGCTCACCTCTCCACATCCGCGTCCTGAGCTACGTGACCCTGTGGCCGCCCCACGCACGTGTGCACACGCGTCAGTGGAGCGCGAGCAGTGTGGTGCCAGCTGCAGAGCTGTGCTGAGCCTCTGCCGTCCAGGGACCCATTGGTCAGGGCGCGGGCGTCCCCCACCAGCTCCGCCCCCGGGAGGGCTGGAGTCTGAACCTAGCACCCAGGAGCCCCCACTGCTTTGCTCCCAGGGAGGTTGCTGCAGTAGATCATCGCTTGGGAGTGGCTGGGGGCCAGCCTCGGCTACCAGGAGAGCGGGCCACGCCTGCCTCCTAACGCAGGGCTGGAGCACAGGAAAACCCCTTTATCTCGGAGTCCTGGAGTGGAAACCTCGCCTGAGCTGGCCACACGAGCCGCGAGCTGCTCCTAGGGCGGGCGTCTCCGGGTGACGCAAGGGGACCAGGGTCAGAGAGAGACCGGAGGGCCTGCTGGGGTTCAGATCTGGCCCTGGTTTCAGTGCTGCTCTTCCCTGGGCCACCTGACCTTGGGGCCTCCCACGTCCCACGCCTCAGGTCCTTGGTCCGTGAGATGGGCTGACGCGGCCGGGAGGGTGGGCACACGCAGGGTGCGCTGGGCTCCCGGATGCAGGCAGCTGGGACGGGGCCCCCAGGCCTGGCTGTGCTTCCAACGGAGCCGCCACCCCGAGCAGTGGCGCCATGTGCAGGAGGCCAATGAAGTCACCGGGATGTGGCCCTGAGGCGGCCTGCTCCGAGAGTGGACGGGCCTTCTAGGTCACTTTCTAGGGCCCCCAGGCTTGATAGAAAATCTGCGCTCCCCTTGTGACCCTCTCCTTTGCTGTCAGGAAGCTCCTCCTCTTCCCATCTTCCTGGAAGGCTGATGTCCTTTGAACTCGACCAGTCGTGTGTTTACCTGGCTAGCGTGCTGGGTGGTGTGTGCGCTTAGGCCTCTGTGCCTGCCTCCCCATTCTGGGTCAGCTGGGAGCTCAGAGGGCCCAGGAGGCCTGTCCTTAGGGGGCTGAGGTCTTAAGAATGACAACCCCAGGGGCGTCAGCCATTGCCCCGGTCAGGGATAGTAGCTTGGAGGGGCAGACGCTCCTTACACCGTTTTGGAGAGCTGGGAATCCAACTTGATGGTGGTCCTGGGAGTTGGCTGGGGCTGCAGCCTCATCTGAAGGCTCCTCCTCTTAGCTGCCCCGCGCGGGTGTGGACGAGCAGGGGCCTGGGGCTCTGAGCTCCTGGACCCTTGTGCCAAGGCAGCTGCTTCCCCGGGAGTGGGCTGCTGTGCCGTTGTGACCGAGGCGGAGATGTTTTACTCTCCTGAACGCAGAGACCAATCTTAATGCCGCGAGGGAAGGTAGGCGTGCCAGGGGCAGGGACACCGATGATGGCCATTCCCCACATTAATACACTCTGGTCCCGTGATCACTGGGATGGGGGTGCCTCCAGCGCTGGGAACGTTGTCTCTTTTGTCCCCCGATGTGTGCCTGGTGGCCGAGGCAGTGCCAGGCACGTGGTGGACGCTTTGTGAACGCTGTCTCAGGGTGGTGGTGGTGGGGAGACAGAGGACAGGCTCGTGCTGCCCGGGTGTGGTGGGCATCCAGGCCTCTTCCCGGAACCCAGGAGCACAAGGCTTGGCCTCGAGCTCCTGCCTCTTGAAAGGTAGCACTTGGCGTTGTGCTTTTCGCGCCCTGGAAATCCTTCCTGCCGAGGCCCTGAAGTGTCACTCTGACAATTATGTGGCACAAAACCACCACCTATTATGGGGCCAATGACTGCAGCTGTGGCAGTAATGGCACATCCCTGAAGTGACAGGAAGAGGTATAACTGCTCGAAACCACACAGAGCCGGAAGGCGCTTGCGTAACCCATGCTTCCTCCCGGAGCCCACGCCTAAGCCGGAGCCCACTCCTGAGGCGAGCCCTGGCCCGAGGGAGGGCCGCGCCTGAGTGCACTTGGGGTCTCTGTTCTGCTGCTGGGGTCACCTTGGGGCTAACAGAGGGGTGCCCCAGGATGCCCCGGGAGGAGAGCTACCCCGATCCCCAACAGCAGGTCTTGCTCAAGTCCAGAGGGGGTAGAAGGAAAACAGCAGAAATGTAGCCAGAGGCTGGGGTCGCGGCCAGGACCCCCTGCTCTTTGCCTAGAGAATGGGTCTCTCCTCCCAGCTCCTGAGGTCTGGGCCAAGGGACCGCCAGTGGAGAGCGAGCTGACCAGTGTGGACGCCACGTGGTCAGGCAACAGCGGAGGCGTCCAGACCAAGCCACAGGCCCATGAGCAAGGCCACGGGACAGCGCGTGCGTCCACGCAGCGGGTCTATTTTTAAAAAGATCACAGATGAAGTTTTCATGTTTCAAAGCAGCGTTCCAATGCCTCCCCACCTCCGCCATTACAAAGAGCAGGTCGGTCCAGCACAGAGCCCAGGTCCAGGCGGCCACAGCTAATTTATGCCACATTTAAAAATCGTGGTAAGAAAACATTCAACTTTCCCAAACAAAGGAGCTGTGCCTTCCCCCACCCTGCAGGCGGCCTCCCCCACCCATACCCGTTTCTCAGGGGCCTGGGGGCCGAGCGCCTGGGGGCCGAGCGCCTTCCCACGGAAGGGTCACAGCTGTGCTCAGCACAGCGGTGACGGGGTCGCGGGGCTCAGCAGCCAGGGTCTCGGGGATGGAGGCTCAGACCAAGGAGGTGGGGGCGCCTTTGGTGGCGGCTCCACCAGCCCCTGTGTCCTCCTGGCTGGAAGGGCGGGTTCTTGGTCCTCACCTGGTGACTGGGCTGAGGGGCCTCTGTGCCTGGCAGACAGTGTGAGCTGCAGGCCTCAGGGCAGGGCAGGGCTCGGGACGCAAACCCCTGCCTGCTCCAGGGCCTCCAAGACGGGTCCTGAGCCAAATCCATCCACTCAGCAACCGTGTTTCGGGGCGGCACTACCGCCCGTCCCACCCGGGGAATCTCAAACTCCCCCCTCCCCCTCCTCGTCACGGCCACACCCTGCCCCGATATCCTTCCCCGGGCCCAGGCGGGAGACCAGGGCGAGGCACGACCAAGCAGCGCTGGGCTGTTCCCCGCTGGAGGAAGCCCCGGGAGCCGGCCCCTCTCCCCTGGTGAGGCCCTCGAGGGCTGCAGGTTGGCTCCTGCCGCGTCCCCGCCGGCACTCAGCCGGGGAGAGGGAGGCCACTCGCCATGTTCTGAAGCAGAACCCTCGCTCCTTCGTTCCGTGAGCCACTTTCCACTCAGAGACGGGAAATCCTAGGTGGGGGCCTGGTGACACCCCTGGAGGTGCCAAGGGACCCCCGTGGCTCCCACCTCGCTGCCACGGGGAGGAAAGCAGCAGCCAGCAGGCCTGGGGTGCCGTGTGGAGTCAGGCATGCCCGGAGCCGGCCACCCCAGCACTCCCGGGTCACGGCCATGGCAGGGGCTGCATGGAGGCTCTGCCGGGTCCAGGAGAGGCAGCTCCCATCGGCTGCACCCACGGTGCAGGGCAAGGGCCCAGGGTGCTGCTGGCCCCCATCGCCCTGACTGGCCAGGAGCTGGTGCCCCCCAAGCTCCAAACCCCCAACCCCCCCGTACCTGCTCCTGAGTCAGGACGGCCGGAGACAAGGCCATTTTGGGGGTAGGTGAAGCTGGCGGCCCCGAGTGGCACGGAGCGGTGTGCCCAGATCCCCCAAACTTCCTGAAAGCACAGCAGGCTCATGCCCTCCCAGGCAGGCCGGGCCCTTCCGCAGGGGAGGGGACAGAGGTGCGGTCCAGGGCGGGGCCCCACGCCTCCGCCCTCGCCTCCGCCTCCTTGATGGCTCCTGACTGCTGCTCTGATGGGGTCAGGGGTGGGGAGCTGGCGAGGCTGGGAGTTGTGCGGCTGACTCCAAGGCCCAGTCCGCGGAGAAGCCCCGACCTGGACGGGCTCTGCTGTACCCAGTGCCTGTCCCAGCCTCGGGTCGGGGCGTAGCAGGTGCAAACAGCAAGTGGAACACCTGGGGGTGGGGAGCTGGGGGGCAGGCGAGGTCCCCCTCTTTGGAGAAGTTTTTTCCTCCCTTAAAACCACTTCCTGCTCACCCGGGGCCCATGCGGGGGACCTTCCTTCCCCACCTCTCGCCTGTGCTGTCTGCAGCCTCGGGGAGTGGGGTGGACACCCTCTTCCCCAGGGGTGGGAGGCAGCCAGTCTGTCCAGTGCACGGGACTGGGGGCTGCAGTGGGTCCTCGGCGGGGTTACGGTACAGACAGGGCAGCGGGGGAGAAAGGGAAGAGAAGAGAGAAGTGGGCAGTTCCAGGGCGTCGAGTACCTCACAGCCGACTGAGGAAACCGAGGGCTGAGATGACCAGGAGGGAGCAGAGGATGAAGAGCGCACACAGACGAAAGTGACCACTCGGAGAGTGGGGACCCTCCCGGCAGGAGAGCACCCGCCCCCCCAGGCAGGCGAGGCCCTGGGAAACTGCGCGGCACCAGGAGCCTGCCCCAGAGACTCGGCTCCAGAGTGGGGTTCCCCCGGCACCTTCACACTCTGGAGCCGCCTCAGGCCTGGAGGGCGCTGCACGCGCTGCTCCCACGGGTCTCGGGCAGCAGGGAGGGGTCCATTCCAGGGCCGAGCCTGCTCCCGGGGCCGCCTGGTCTGCGTCTCTCCAGGGAGCGCCACTTCTTTAAAAAAAAGTTACTTTGGCCCAGGAGGGCAGGAGATGCCCAGGGCTGGAGGCGTCCGTGGGGGTCAAGCCGGGCCAGGGAACGCGCCGAGAGCCACGGCCGTCCGGCCTGACCCCTTGCTGTGTCCTTTTCCTGCTGGGCTGCCGGACACGGCGGGTCCTGGACGGCGTTCCCGATGGAAGGGGCAGGCTCCTTGGCACGTTCTTCCTCGGGGACGGGCTGGCTGCCCACACGGCCTCCTTCCTCAGGAGGGACCCAGCTGCGTCTCAGGCAGGGGAGGGGGCCGGCGTGGGCGCCCAGGCCGCCGCCACGGGGGTCTTGCTGGGAACCCCCAGAAGTTCTCTGGCTGAGCAGTCCCAGACGGCGCGGCATGTCTGAAGGAGAGGCGCCAGGGAGCCTGCCTCTCCGTAACCCGCATTCCTCGGGGCCGGGACTCTTGGGACCTGCGCGCCCAGAGGAGCAGGAGGGCTGGGTGGGCAGCGACCAGCCTGGGACCCCGCGGGGCCCTGCACTGCTCCCTCTGGGGGCTCTCTGCTGACTACGCCCGGCGGCGAGTGAAAAGACGAAAAAGGTCCTCTGTGATGATCGAAGCCCGCGTCCCGGGCCTCGATCGCTCTGCTCCTGCGAGGGAACCAACCCGGCCTCCTGGTCTCCCGGGCGCGGGGGGACGCCCAGCACCGCCGCCGGCTGTGACGTCAGTGGAGGTTGCTTCTGTCGCGAGCCGCACGGGGTTTCTGACGCGCAGGTACATGGTCTGGGCCGCTGTCTGGCAGCAGGCCTCACGGGCCGGCCGGGAACAGGCGGCGGGGGACACGGAAGCTGAGTCAGTGTGACGGGGCAGCAGCTGGGGCTCGAGGGTGCGGCTTGGCTGCCCCTCAGGGGCGTCTTCCAGACATCAAGCCCGGGTCGCCTCCACCGCCCTGCAGTTCGCCGGACCCCTTCTGGAGACGGGAGGCTCCAGACCAAGCGCGGGGCTCTGGGCGGCCGGTGGCCGGGGCCTCCCTTGTCGCTCGGGACGAGTCGCGGCCATGGCCCTCACCTGCGTGTGATGGTTCAGCACTTTTCACCCTCTCCCCGTTTTTGGCAGAAAAACAAGATTTCACAGCACGCGGAATTCCTAACATTCACATTTCGGTGTCCACAGACGACGTCTTGCTGGCATGGCCTCAGGGTGGCCCGTGTCCTCTGATCTGGGCACGAGAAGCACTTGTCACCCGCCGACACGCCGGCCCTTGGTGCTGGGCTCTGCGCTGGGGGGCTGGGCCCGCTGGGGGGTCACTGTGTCAGGAGGGCGCCTCAAGTGCCAGACGACACCGCTGGGTCCCGCTGCCCGCCCGCCGGGGCCTGGGGAGGCGGCCGCGGGCCTCTGCGCCTGCTGTTACTCGCGAGTAACTGCCGTGTCTCTGACGGCAGCCCTGAGCCTGCTCCGGGGTAAACACGCCAGCGCCCCAGCTGGCCGCGGGACACTGCCGCCGCCTCTGAAGCGAACTATTTTTGGCGGCTCTTTTGCCTCATTTATTTTTGATTTGAGTTGCTCATACAGATTGTTTGTTCCTTCTCGCAACTGCGCTGACATGAAGTCAGCGCTGTGGTGTTGCTGCCTCGTGATTAGCGCCATGAGCTGCGGTGCCCGGGCGGCCGTCGGGGTGGCCGCTCTGCCAGACGCCCTGGCCCGGCCAGCCCCGGGGGAGGGCTGGGTCCGCAGAGTGTGCACCAGGCTGGCCTTTGGAGAGCTGGGGGCAGGGACACGGGGGCCGCCTCAGTGCCGTGGGTGGAGGAGGCCCGAGGTGCCCGCAGGCGGGGACAGGTCAGAGCTGGTGGTGACTGAGGGCAGTGTGTGGAGGGCTGGGCTGGGGGGCTCCCGTGCACCCCTGCACTGAATCCTCACCCCGAACCACAGATGACAGCAAGGAGACGGGCTCAGCGTGGCTCCGTGGGCTGGGCCACAACTGTCTGGTGAGCGGTGGCCCGGGCGGTGCCTTCTCCAAGCCAGTCCTTTGTGCCACCAGCAGAGCTGGGACAGCCAGAGGCCTCCTCTGTGCTTTCCAAGACTGGGGGGCAGGCAGAGGCAGGAGCAGGGGTCTCGGCAGGAGCTGATGCCAGGAGTCAGGTGTGAGGGGGCGGCCTGTGCCCACAGGGAGGGGGGGCGACCGGGCTGGCGGAGCAGGAGGTGAGGATGCAGGGGGATGTGTGCTGTCTGAGGAAGAAGGGGGTGCTCTGGAGAGGTTACCGGTTCCAAGATCGGTGGCGTAGCAGGTTGGGGGACCCTGGAGCTGGACAGTGGCCAGATCCAGTCTGAGGTGCTGCCGGACCTCCAGGGGGCGTCCCCTCCCTGCGCGCTGGCTGGAGACTTCGGGTCCTGCCACCGGGCCTGTGCAGGGAAGCCTCGGCCTGGGGTGCTCTCGTTGTATGTCCACACTCAACCGTCGCCGCTGCAGAGGCTGTCCTCCCGCCCTCTCCAGGGTGTCCTGTCCATGTCCTCAGCGCCTGCTTCCCGCGGGACACACACGCCAACTGTAGCGGCTGTTTGCCCACGAGCCCCGCGGCCGGATGGGCCTGGTCGGGTGTGAGGGGTGTGGCCTGCGCCCCGACAGGTGGCCCTCTCAGGAGCCGGGAGCCTTGGAAGGGGCTGAGCAGGGCACCGAGCCGGTGCTCCCCAGGAGAGGGTGGTCCTGCCGCCTCCGCGCTGCCCCCGGGGGTTGCACTGGGGGTGGGCGGCCCCCCAGGCTCAGGATCTCAGACTATGGCCCGAGCTTCAGTCTTCACCTGGGGTCCCCACCAGGACCATGCCCGATTCACGGGCGGCTCAGAGCCGAGCACCCCACGGGGACGCACGCAGGAGCTGCACACGTGTGCACATGCGACAGGCCCTGCCCTTCCTCTTCCCTATCGCCTGCATGTCCCCTCCCCCCACCAGCACCACCCCCCGTCCCATCACCCTCGTCCCATCACCCCGTCTCATCCCCTGTCTCATCCCCCCGTCCCATCACCCCCCCGTCCCATCACCCCCCCCCCCCCGTCCCATCACCCCCCGTCCCATCACCCCCGTCCCATCACCCCATCCCATCCCATTTTCACCTCCACCATCTGCATCTCCCCCACCCCCCACTCTCCTCCGTCACCTCCGCCTCTCGCGTCTCCTCCACTCCCGGCTGACCCTCCTCCTTCAAGCTCTCCTGCTTTTGGCATTGCGTGGTTGCCCCCCCACCCCGGGGCCCTCCCGAGCAATCTGCCCCTCTCTGAGCTTCGGTTCTCTCTGCCATTCCCATGGCGCTGCCCACAGCCGCCCTCGCCGGAGCTGGGTGCGACTCAGGGCGGCCTATGAGCTCCCCCACCGGGCCGGGATGCTCCTCCCTGCACCGCGGTGTCCACCTGCCACTGGAGTCCTGTTCCCATTTCTCTGTCCCCCATGCTGTTCCTAGAGCCCTCGGGGCGGGGCCGGGCACGGGGCTTGGCCAGCAGAGGCCTCCGCAGGGTCTCCCGCCTGGCCTCCCACACACCCGGCCTCGGGCACGCCTGCCGCTTCCTCCCCCCACACCCGTGCCCCTGCCAGCCCCGCCTGCTGCCGCTGCCCTCGAGGTGCTGCTGCCTCTTCCCCTCTGCCGGGACGCCGCCAGCCGCAGGAGTCTGGCAGGGGCTGCTTCCTGACACCACTCGCCGCCGAAACCCCAGTGGGTGGCCGCGGGGAGGGCTGGCGCCTTCCCTCCTGCCTCCTCTGCCACCCGCGCTTTCCAGCAGGCTGCCTAGTGTCACGCAGCCGAGACGCAGAGCGGGGCCGGCCTGCCGAGTGGGCGGCCAGCTCAGCACTCCTTGCCCGGGCTCCCACGGCAGGTCTGGGGCGGACGCGCCCCGCGGCTTCTGGCTTAAAGCGCTGACACTGGATGACTCCACCCCGGGGCCACCGAGACCAGACGCAGCCAGGGGGTCTCCCGGCCTCCCCCATCTCTCACATTCACAGAGCAGGGGCGCGGAGGGGCCCGCAGGTGCCCTGGACACGGAACCACCCTCCTTGGTGTCCCGCCTGCACCCCGGGG